GTAGGGTTAGTCTGTGAGGTGCGACTACACCCTGCTGTCTGTGGCGGGCCAACTTGCAAGAAACGCGGTTTCTCTTCCCCACACCCGAGAGTGGGTGGCGCGGCCCGGGGAGATCCCGGGTGGGGGGAGGGGCATGGCCGTCACCCCCGCATTTAGCTCCAAGTGCGGGGGGGGGAATCCGGAGGTCGCTCTCCAGCGGTGGCGCAGGCGCATGAGGCCACGCCCATCCCGCGGGACGGAACGGCCGTTGTGGGGGAGGGGGAGACGGTTGAACTACCCCCAGGCTGGGGGCGTGCGCGGGCCTCCGCCTTGGCTAGGCGCGCCCCGCGCTGCCATGGCGACAGCTCGGGGCGGCCATGGCGGAGGAGAAGGAGGGAGCCGCCGCGGGTAAGACCCCACCCCGGTCCCACCTCCATCCACCGGAGGGGCACAAGCGGCTCCCGAGGGCCCTATCCACTCCTGAACAAGCACACGCGCGCCCTCTTTTTCCCCCTCTCCCTAGCGGGCGCTGCCCTGACCACAGCCGCAGCTGCTCTGCGCATGCGCCCGAGGAGGGGGGGGGGAGAGGCAGCGTTGGCCGAGCCAGTCCCGCCCCCGCGTTCGGGGGGGCGGGGCTGTGCGCTTTGCAGCGCCGAGGGTGCGGGGCAGGGGCACAAGGCGCTCCGGCCCCTCCCACACGCCAGAGCGGCCCAGTTCTGTCCAACCGCCCACGGAGCCGTTGCTACGTCAGCGCCCCCGAGGGGCGGGCGCTGATAAAGCCGAGCGCTGTGGCTGGTGCAGGTTTTCTGAGGGTTATTTGTCATGCGTGTGTGGCGCAGGCCCCTGAGGATAGGGTTGCCAGGTGTGGCATCGTTATCGCATTTATAGGATACTTCCATTGCAGTTTTTGTAGTATTAACAGGGATTTTGATTTTCTCCGGTTAAAAAAAAAGTCCCGAATTTTCAGTTAAAAAAAAGTAACCCCGAATCCACATTTTTCTGTGATTAAAATGAAACACCTCTATAGCTAGATAGAGGTATGTACCTACCTATCTATATATTAGTGGTGTTTCATTTAAAGCACAGAAAAATGTGGATTTGGGGTTACTTTTTTTTAACTGAAAATTGGGGATTTTTTTAAATCCGAGAAAACCAGGATCCCTGGTGATCAATCATGGGAAAAGTGTTCAAATGTTTTTGAGGCAGCAGCACACTGGTGCATCCTATGCAAAACTGAAGTCACTCTCAGGGAGTCTTAACCAAGGTTCAGGTTGGCTGTTGGCTGTTTCTTGCGTCCGCTTGCCTTGAAATAAAGAAATGCTCCCACTTGCATGACCCAGTCAGGGGCTGAACAATACTTTGAGTCTTGTGGGGTCTGCAAAAAAAAATTAAACTGGTTCATTGATTAGCAAGTCCACCTAAGTGAAGGAACAATCTGATCGGGGACTGCTTGACCCCGCCCCCTTACAATTTTTCAAATCTTACAGGAGCTGTCCTCTTTGGGGCGGGGGTGCTCAGCCCCTCCCCACCCCCAGCTCCCTGTTAATTCATGCACTGCTTATAGTGAGCAATATAAAGTAAATGAGAAGACTTATTTGCCTACCTACTTGCATACTCATTGGGATGATTTTTCAGTGTACAATACTTGCTGAAAAACTATGGTAATATTGAGCTTCCAATACAATAATTTAATATTTCAGACCTGGCAACACTGCCTGGGGACTCAGGCAGTACATGTCATTAGCTTCCTCCTCCATCCTCGGGAATTACCACACACAAGACTGGTGAATTGGGCAATACATTTGGACCAGGAGCACATGTCAGAGCCCTTAATTTAATGCATTTGAACCCGTGCCCCCAGCATCCCTTCAAAGGTGTGGTCTCCTGGACGGCTTTGCTGCAGAAGAGCTGCTCCATTACTGTTCCCTAGTCAGAAAAGAAGTGATGGCTGCAAGTTCCCATGTCCTGCGGGCTGCCTCTAGTCTAGCAAGGGCTCTGTGTCAAGTCCAAAATGGCTGAGAACAGCTGCCCCACATAGACATGTGGCCAGCGCAAGTACCAATTGCCCCTCTTTGGCATCCAAAGATGAGGGAAGCACATGCTGCACTGTTGTCGCCACTTTGCTTTTCTTCACATAATCTTTCTCAAACATTGCACTGTGCGGAAAGAAGCCTACAGCACAGTCAGGATTGTTTCACATGAGCTTCACGTGTGATAAGTGTGGAAGGGAGTGTCAGTCAGGAACTGGGCTCTGTAGCCTCACCCACAGATGTTCAGCAGGCTGATGCCACAATCCTATTGTCTTGCAAGACAGACAGACGTCTACTACTCCTGCTTTTCCTTCTTGCCACAGAGACCTGTACCAGTGTCCAGTGCTGCTCATTTGCAGGCTCCAAATGCTAGATGTCCAGTTAGCTCAGTAGTGACCAATGTCACGTTCAAGTGCTTAACTGGGGTGACAAATCATGAGGTAGTTCAGTTGTCCAAAACACTTGTGGAGAGCTGTGAGGAGAAGTTTGAGGCTGACATTGCAGACATTCCTAAAGCCCTTAGTATTATAGGGCTTAGGCATCTGAGGGAAGTTAAGAAACAATAATTACCTCAATTCAAAATGTTTTTCTTACATTCATTAAGCTTTATGGTCTTTATAACAGCATTGTTAAATTTAGGGTTTCTTTTTAAGAACACAACTTGTCATCGACAATCCTTCCATTTGAGGATGATCTCTACCATGGCTCGCTGATGGGTCTTGCCGTAACTTAAGAGTCCAAACCTCGAGCCACAGATCTGTGCAGAAGTTGCAGGTCTCTTTGTAGAAGAGAGTCGGCCATAGGCTGGGTTTCCTCTCCTTTTCCTTCCTCTGCTCTCTCTCTGTGGAGGGCTTGGTGGTTCTCAACAAGTTTTAGACTCAACCTTCCATAATTTCTGTGAATTAAGTGGCATCCCATTCCAAAAACATTACTTCTCCTCCTTGCTGAGGAGCCAGGCAGGGACCAGCCTGAGCCTGCACTTAACTGCTTATCTCCTCACACCTTGCTTATTTTCTTGCACTTGGGGACACCCTTGAAAAGATCTCTTGGCACCTCAGGGTGCTGTGGCATCCTGGATGAGAATCCCTGCTAGGGCCACTTCATTGCAAAAATGTCAGGGGAATACTAAAAAAATATATTGCATTGTGATAACATAGCAGTAAGATTTTTTGTTCATCCTGATTTCTAATGGTAACACATTCCACAACTGAGAGCCTTTAACAAATTAGAATCAAAATCTATCAACCAAAGTAGTCCTGATGAATGCAGTTACCGTGGTGACTTGCACTGAGAGGTGACTTTGAAGTAAATTGGCTCTGACTTAGCCTCATAGAATTTTATAGGTAAGAACCAAGAATAATAATCATAATTTGCCAGTGTAGAGGACAGAGTATTGTGATGTGCTTTCCTTGGCTTTTTTGGCAGACAGGATACTGGTGTTCAACTCTTTGTTGGTAGACTTCTGGCTCAGATGGAGATAGAGCAAGTTATAATTCAGTCTCAAACTATTACTGTGTTCCATATTTAAAATAATGATCATTCATATTTAGTTTTTTAGGTAAAAGCACTTTTGAGTTGTATCATTATTCCTACTCTATGAATTAGGAGACTGAGGCACAGTGAAGTTGAACTAATTACCAAATGGTCCCAGGCAGATCTGGTAACAGAACTCAGGCCTCTCAACTTCTGCACCTGTACCCTATCTACTTAAATATACTGTTGGTTAGAAAAAAAATGGAGATGAAAGAGTCTATTGTCCAGCTAAAGAGATATTGACTGTTTCTGACTACTTATGCTCCTTAGGCATCCATGAATGGATACTATGGTTTTGTGCCACTTTGGAAATCCAACAGCAGGCATCCTCAGTGCAGAGTTTGTAGTGGTTTGTCTGGGTAATGCTTTTAATGTTCTGGTATTTTTCAGTACTTTTAAGATAATTAATTTATAATTTATTTACATTTTAGTTATATAATATTAAAGAAACACAACCCCTTTTGCTGAGGTTTTTTTTAATCAAGATCTTGCATATGTTGCAAAATATCCTGTTTGATCCTAGACAAATCATAGTTCCTCTATAAATTTCTCTGTCCATAAAATGGAATTGGTAACATTTCCCTGCCCCAGAAGGGTATCATAAGGGTGAGTATACCAAAGATTCTGAGGTGTTCCAATATGGAAATGGATTGCATATTAGTAGATAGACTTGTTCCCAAATGAGTTGGGCATCTCACTCTTATGGAAAAATCAATAGGAGAGGGGATGCCTAACTTTTAATTCATCATTCCTGAAATTCCCACCTATTTAAGTAGTCTTCCTGATAGCCTTATGAGGTAATAAGTATTAGTTCTCTTTTAAAAATGATTGGCTGATACAGTGGTGAAGGAACTAGCCTTGTTAGGTTTCAGAAGCAATCTTGCAATTAACTGAATAAAAGCAGTTCACACGCCTTCCTAACTGCTATTTCAGACTGGCAGGCTTCTGTTTAGAGGTCTGTCAGGATCCTCAAAGTTGGACCATCTGAAATCATTAGCCACTTTTCTTGGTCTTCATTTCTGCCAGTTAACCAGTGCTCTAAAGCATAACATAGAAATATCAGTTTACATATTGTGGTTCTGACAGAACAATAACATCCATTGTATTGTCAAGTAATTAGCCTTTAGGGTATTCCTAGAACTTCTTGTTGCAGGCTTCCACAAGGTTTCATGGTTAGGGTTTCTCTTGGGTCTTATTATTTTAAATTTTTTTCTTCATCTGAGTTTAAGTGCCTTATTAAATGTTTTAGAGATGTACACAGAGAGAGAATTAATAATGGGCATGCACATCACTTTATTCACACAAGTAGACCCACTAATTAAACTACACATATGCAAGGCTCTATCCATATGAATAAGTATTTGCAGGATCAGGCTCATAGTCTCTATTCTTCGTCTTGTTCTTAATGTTATGCATTTCTGTATTTGTGACTGTAACAGGGTGGCCTCCTTGTCGGGTCTCTGCCAACTGTCCTGTCATGCCTTGATGGAAAAATATGAGAGTTGTTACTAAGGCAGCAGGCTATCCATTATTTTGCTCTGCTGACAAGGGCCTTAATACCCATTCCAACCTCCTCTCCATGGGTCCCATGCCTCACAGATGCTCTATGCTCTGTGTGAGTTCCCTCTCCAGCCTATGGCTGGAGCAAACTGGGCACAGTTGTAGCTCTACCCTACAGCCCCAGAGGGCCACTCCCACACCACCCCTCTCTTACTAGGGTCCCACTCACTCCACTGGCTCTTACCCAGCCTCTTTCATACTGCCCTCTCTCCTGGGCCACACTCATCCTGCTTGGCCTCACCCAGCTTCGGGCTTAGCTCTCCATGCCTTGGTCAGCCCTGGCAC